TGGGGGGGAACCACTGGCCTGTCTTGTTTGACCCAAATTTCGAACAGTGCAGTTGCAAGCGGAGTTACATACCCTTCTAAGTCCTTTGGTCAGTGGACTTGGAAAGGTGTAATTCTGTTTAGGATTGCAGTGTAAGTCCCTCTGGCATATGGGAGCACGAGTTATGAAATCTCTCTCTCTCTCTCTCTCTCTCTCTCTCTCTCTCTCTCTGGGTGTCTCTCTCTCTGGGTGATTCTGCATTGGCTTTTCCCTCCGTTGTTCAGTCGCACAGTCGAGTCCGACCCTTTGTGACCCCATGGACCACAACCCGCCAGGCCCCTCCTGTCTTCCACCATCCTCTAGAGTTTGCTCAACTTCACGTTCGTTGCATCGATGACACTGTCTAACCATCTCATCCTCTGCCGTCCCCTTCTGCTTTTACCTTCAATCTTCCCCAGCATCGGGGTCTGGGAAACAGGGAAACGAAACCGACACTGGAACAGAAATCCTGCTCTGCATTGCAGGCTGTTTCCACTTCCTTTGAGCATCAGATTTTATGGTACCGTCTGCATAGATTCATGGCCATTCAGGGGTGACTTTGCAGTCAGTACGGCACTGCCCAGCAGGGTTCATTTCCTAGAAAAAGAGGTGCAGGGACTCATTAGCATAGCTTATTTGCATATGCCACACCCCCTGACATCACCGGAAGTGTGTCAGAAGGCAACACCCACTGCTCAGGCTCCACTGGACTGTTTTGGATTGCTAGCTATTGGGGGAGGGGGGACGCGCAGATCTGCCCTCGCAGAAGAGGCAGAGCTTGTCCCTGAATAAAACTTGGTCTTAATGGTGCCACTGGACTGTTTGGGGCCGGGGGGAGCTCTGCAACTTACCTGGCTGCTTCTTGCTCTGACTGAGGGCTGCTGGGAGCAGGGGGCGGGGCTTGTTGCATGTGCCCGCCCCCTGGGCTCTTTACTGCCGGAGCTCCGCTCCTGTGCGCTCCTGCAGGAAATGACCCCTGCTGCCCAGAGGTATTTGAATGTGGTTTTGAGTTGCACTTTTTCCTCCCAGCTGAGAAAATGTGGAGCGAATGCTAGATGCATGATCACCCTCAGTCTCTCGTGTCTGTCTCTGTCTCTGTCTCTGTCTCTCTCTCTCTCTCTCTCTCTCTCTCTCTCTCTCTCTCTCTCTCTGAAGAAGAAGAGTAATCATAGAACCATCAAGAAGTGTGCATGCATATGAAAGCTTATACTGTAAATAAAACTGTGTTGGTCTTAAAAGTGCCACTGGACTCAGACTTTGTTCTGCTGCTTCAGACCAAGACGTCTACCCCGCCCGAATCTCTCTGTTTCTTTCTGTGCATGAAATTTCAAGAGACAGAGATCTGGAACGAATGGGATAGAAATCACCAGCTAACACCTCTGGCTTTGACCTGTGCATGTACTAATTGTACTGCAGCCTATCTGGGTTCTGTCCTCTTTCTCCGTGCAGCAGTGCTGAGCAGGATCGACTGAGAGGGCGGTGGGTTGCCAGTGAGCTTCAGGGATCCAGTCCGGCACCGTCACTTACTGATTAGTATTGCCCAACTGGCGGGCTTTTGCCTAAATGCTGGATATTGCTAGGGCAAACGGCTTCTAGCTTACCTTTGTTCTCAGGTTAAATTCCGGATTAAACACCCAAATCTGATACCGGTTTTTCTACAGACACTTGGGTGTTGTTTTCGTCACCACAATGCACTCGGTATCAGCTCCAGAAAGAAAAGATTCTCAAACAATTCTCTTTTTTTTCTTTCTTTTTAAATAACTAGATGTTCAGAGTTTAGAAAAGTTGCTGAGGGAAGCGGTGATACACGGACAGCCCCGGACGCGGAGAGCCTGGAAAAAAATCCTCATTCTAGTGGAGGGCATTTACAGGTACGGGAAGCCGTTACTCAAAAGCAGACGCTTCTGTCCCTTTGGAGTGTGTTTTCCGAGGGTTGGTCCTAGCCCAATGCTCCCTCTAAGCCGTGGAGTCTCGTGAGCACAAATTGTACTTTGTGAGCTGCTGGCATTCCAGTTGTGAGCGAGCGATTTGGCCGCTGCATCAATTAGTTTGCCCTGGAGCCACATCCTTCCTGAGACAAAAATGTGAGATCCGGGGGCTAAAAAACTGTGAGCTGGCTCACACTAATTCAGCTTAGAGGGAACACTGGTCCTAGCCCTTCGGTCAGCAATACAATTAGTTGTTGTTGTTCAGTCGCACAGTCGAGTCCGACTCTCCGCGACCCCATGGACCAGATCCCGCCAGGCCTTCCTGTCTTCCGCCGTCCTCTGAAGTTGGTTCAACTTCATGTTCGTTGCATCGATGACACTGTCTAACCATCTCATCCTTTGCCGTCCCCGTCTTCTTTGACCTTCAATCTTTCCCAGCATCAGGGTCTTAGGTTTAGTTATTTATATATGTATTTATTTATTTATTTATTCGATTTTTATTCGGCCCTCCCTGCCGAGGCAGGCTCAGGGCGGCTTACGTTAAAAGGATTAATATATATATTAAAACACGAACGCAAATAAAATAAAACACAAACGCCTATTAGTGCAGCACAGCTTCGTAAAACACATAGATAAGTCACAATACAAAATAGAATAAAGTGCTGGTGGCAGTAACATCCCGGGCCAAGATCAGATGGTCCAGAGTATGGCCCCCGTCAGTGTCCCGCACGGCAGGCTGTTGGTGTTAGCGATCGGTTATTATTGTTAGCAGCGGCACCTAATCGAAGGCCTGGTGGAAGGAGCTCCGTTTTACGGGCCCCGCGGCAATGTTCCCTCTACGCTTCGCGGTGTGGCGAGCAGAAATGCTACTTTCTGAGAGAGAGAAAAGGCTAGTCGCTTTAAAGTTGTGAGCGAGTCTACATTGGACTATCGCGCAAATTCGTTTTTTAGAAGGTCATTTCCCTAACCTTGTAAAAATCTCGGAATAAATTATTTCCAATTACGATAAAAGTTTATTTTAAGAATAATTTGAACATCCGAGTCAAATTTCACCCGCTCCTTTCCACTGTATGGGTAGACCTGGCCTCTGGAGAACAGGTCTCCCCACCAGTGCTCCCTCTAAGCTGTGGAGTCGTTGAGTAGAACTTGTGAGCTCCTGGCATTCAAGTTGTGAGCGAGCAGATTGGTTGCTGCATAAATCAGTTTGCTCTGGAGCCCTCCTTCCTGAGCTAAGAATGAAAATGTGTGAGCTGGAGGCTAAAAAACTGTGAGCTAGCTCACACTAACTCAGCTGAGAGGGAACACTGCCCTGCGGAACTGTACATGGTCCCACAGGGCCCTGATGTCTTCTGGGAGCTCATTCCACCAGTGTGGAGCTGCCACTGAGAAGGCCCTGGCCCTGGTAGAGGCCAGTCTGGCATCTTTCGGTCCAGGGAGGGCCGTCAGGAGCTCACCGTTTTTCCTTTCTCTTCTGAAGGCACCTACGTGACCTGTCAGGTCGACTGACAACTCTCCACAACCTTCAGTTACAAAACGTTGTGGGGAATGACCGCTCGGTTCTTGCAGTCTTTGATTAATAGTACAGGGGGAGGGAGTGATACAAATTAAAGTTGATGTTGATTTTTACTGGAGGAATCTTTGATACTAGGGATGCCAGCCTCCAGGTGGGACCTGGGGATCCCCTGGAATTACAGCTCCGTCAAGTCCGACTCTTCGCGACCCCATGTACCAGATCCCGCCAGGCCTTCCTGTCTTCCTCTGTCCTCTGAAGTCTGCTCAACTTCATGTTCATTGCATCTATGATACTGTCTAACCATCTCATCCTTTGCCGTCCCCGTCTTCTTTGACCTTCAATCTTTCCCAGCATCAGGGTCTTAGGTTTAGTTATTTATATATGTATTTATTTATTTATTTATTCGATTTTTATTCGGCCCTCCCTGCCGAGGCAGGCTCAGGGCGGCTTACGTTAAAAGGATTAATATATATATTAAAACACGAACGCAAATAAAATAAAACACAAACGCCTATTAGTGCAGCACAGCTTCGTAAAACACATAGATAAGTCACAATACAAAATAGAATAAAATGCTGGTGGCGGTAACATCCCGGGCCAAGATCGGATGGTCCAGAGTGTGGCCTCCGTCAATGTCCCGCACGGCAGGCTGTTGATGTTAGCGTTCGGTTATTATCGTTAGCAGTGGCTCCTAATCGAAGGCCTGGTGGAAGAGCTCCGTTTTACGGGCCCTGAGGCAATGTTCCCTCTACGCTTCACAGTGTTGCGAGCAGAAATGCTACCTTCTGAGACAGAGAGAAAAGGCTAGTCGCTTTAAAGTTGTGAGCGAGTCTACATTGGACTATCGCGCAAATTCGTTTTTTAGAAGGTCATTTCCCTAACCTTGTAAAAATCTCGGAATAAATTATTTCCAATTACGATAAAAGTTTATTTTAAGAATAATTTGAACATCCGAGTCAAATTTCACCCGCTCCTTTCCACTGTATGGGTAGACCTGGCCTCTGGAGAACAGGTCTCCCCACCAGTGCTCCCTCTAAGCTGTGGAGTCATTGAGTAGAACTTGTGAGCTCCTGGCATTCAAGTTGTGAGCGAGCAGATTGGTTGCTGCATAAATCAGTTTGCTCTGGAGCCCTCCTTCCTGAGCTAAGAATGAAAATGTGTGAGCTGGAGGCTAAAAAACTGTGAGCTAGCTCACACTAACTCAGCTGAGAGGGAACACTGCCCTGCGGAACTGTACATGGTCCCACAGGGCCCTGATGTCTTCTGGGAGCTCATTCCACCAGTGTGGAGCTGCCACTGAGAAGGCCCTGGCCCTGGTAGAGGCCAGTCTGGCATCTTTCGGTCCAGGGAGGGCCGTCAGGAGCTCACCGTTTTTCCTTTCTCTTCTGAAGGCACCTACGTGACCTGTCAGGTCGACTGACAACTCTCCACAACCTTCAGTTACAAAAAGTTGTGGGGAATGACAGCTCGGTTCTTGCAGTCTTTGATTAATAGTACAGGGGGAGGGAGTGATACAAATTAAAGTTGATGTTGATTTTTACTGGAGGAATCTTTGATGCTAGGGATGCCAACCTCCAGGTGGAACCTGGGGATCCCCCGGAATTACAGCTCATCTCCAGACTGCAGGGATCAGTCCCCCTGGAGAAAATGGATGCTTTGGAGGGTGG